GCAGAGTAATCAAACACAGATCCACAGATTTATGTTTCACTTTGGTGAAGTTTCCCTTCTGGATGTAACAGAGTTGATGCAATTCACTGTAACGATTCAGATTCACTTCCTGTTGGTACAACATTGATCCCATACAAATGTGTCGTCCAAATTACATCTTTAGAAACGCTGCTTTAAGAATAAATGCAATGATTGTTCTTACTGGTTGTTGTTTGAAGTCTGGTCTCTTCTTGATGATGTCATAGACCGTTAAATACTTCATGTACAGCACGTAAGCCTTCTCCTCATCCCTGTCCAGACGGTTCTCCTCCGCCGCCTTGAAAAGTTTGCAGGCACTCTGAACATAGCTGCAACACAGAAACACGAACACCGCGTCACTTCTGCAACACAACTGAGCGAGCAGCAGTAAACACAACACCGCACCTTCTGGTGCTCGTCTTGTCTGGCTTCACTTCAGCCTTCTTGTTGAGGTCACCCAGAGATGTGGACAAATACAGCTCTTTGACCCCCGTGGACACTGCAGGCATCGTGGCAGATGTGTTGAGAGCTCAGTCAGGGTTTCACTCAAGCTCAGGACATGCCTACCAAACAGGAAGTGAAAATTTAAATATGTTTGCACAATATAAAGACAACCAGAAACATCCAGAAACAATTATTAAATACAGAAAATCTATTCTGTCCCATCGACAATCAGAATTTTAGATTTCTTAATCTGAGATCAGTCATTTGTGTTTCTGTCTGTAACACCGCAGTCCCACAGATCCATCCAGGACTTGTTTCAGAGTCAGGTCTCAGGGGCAGCAGCTGGACCAGGGAGGTCCAGACCACCACTGACACCTCCTGTGGGAGGACTCCAAGCTGTTCTCAGACCATCTAAGAGACATAATCTCTCCAGAGAGTCCTGGGTCTTCCCTGGGGTCTCCTCCCAGTTAGGTTCTCCTCACCAGGTGATTCACCTGAGGTGAACCTCCTCAGCTGGTTCCTCTGGATGAGGAGGAGCAGCAGCTCTACTCAGTCTCTCTCCTGGAGAACTGAACTTTATCTCATGAACAGAACCAGGAGATACTAAAAATAACATAAAATAATTAAGACAGTTTATATCTGAATGTTTTTAACAAAAAGAGCAACATGTCTCGTAACTGTGAAACATTTGCTTGAATATCTGTTATGTTTGACTCATAAAACACACATCTACTTTAGTAAGTAAATATTTAAAAGGCCACATATTTTTTTAATATATCCTCCAATTGTTTTTACCTAACAAATCTCCCGTATGAGTTTTAATTATATAGTTTTACTGCTGTTTGAACATTAGATATCTATAAATTTAGTTCTAGGATGAATATTGTTGTTGATAACTTATAGAAAATAAAAGTAAAATGTACAACAACCTGACACAGTTAAATAAATACACATTTAAATCACAGCAAGATTTTAATTGAGCCTTTGAATCGACAAAAATAAGAATCTGTTAAAGTATAAACCCGACAGGTCGACTATCAATAACTTTTAGCACCTTAGCCAACATTAGCTAGCCTGTAGTTAGCTTAGCTGGCGCAGGATCTGTCAACATCAAGTTGTTTTCTGGCTAAAATTAGCCGCGACCTTCTGCTTCCGCTAACTGATCGCTAATGTGAAACTAAACTGACCTTGTTCAATTAAAAAAAAAACACCAAACAGCGCGTAAACGTACAAACATGATTTAAAAGACCGAAATGTCAACTTGTTGTCTTCCTGGTTAGCCACCTAGCTAGGCTAGGCTAGGTTAGCATGTTCCGTTTGGAGATGAAAGCTAACCACAGACCGGTAGTGACGGTTACAGCCACATTCAACGCTTTGTTAGCAGCTTTCGGCTGTAGAACAAATTAATGTAGAGTGTCCGATGGTGGAAAAACAATTAAATAATAATAATATTACCTTATTCCTGTCCGTTGTTTACTTTAGCTACTTATTTGGACAGCTGATTTTTTGTTTACTTCTTCTTCTCCGTTTTCTTTGCTCGGTGACGTCATTAAACCGGCGGTGAGGCCCGCTAGCGCCCTCAAGCGGTCATATGTGTAAACAACGCTGCACATTAAAGGAGACATATCATGCATGCTAAATGCACTTTTTTTTGCATTTATAAACTATTTTTGTGCAATTATAGTGTCTAGGAGTGT